AGACCTGCTGAAACATGATCTGGGTGAAGGCGAAGTGAGGGAAGTGAAAGGGGGTAAAAAATAAAAAAAATAAAGGAGGATGATGAGAGGAGAAGACAGACATCCCTATCTGATAAAAGACACCAGGAGGGAGAGAGGGAAGGAGAAAAAAAAGGAAGGGGTGGAAATTATTCAACCACTTGTCCTCTCCACTCTCCCGCTCACCCACATGCCCCCTGCAGCTCCGTGCTGCTGCTTGTGCTTCGTCCTGATAAGAACCAGCGACAGTCACACAAACACACACATTATAAAGCAGCATAGACAAACACACATGTATAACCGTGCACACAGCAAGGCCCCTCAAGCGGCCTTGGCCTACAATGTGTGGGATGTCCTTCTCCGGAGTGTGTGTGTGTGTGTGTGTGTGTTTTGCACAGTGTCGGAGTACCAGCCAGGGTAAACACAGTGTGCCAGAATGTCACGGTCTGGGGCCTTCACACCTCCATCACAAATAACCCTTTCAGCCGTGGAGAGAGAGCGAGAGCATGTGTGTGCTGGGACTACCCAGAACGTGTGGGCAGGCTGTATGCTATAAGTGTATCGGCTTGGCTATGGGTAAGAGAAAGACAGGGCTTGAGAAAAATATATTCATGCGTATTGTTTTGCTTTGCTCAGAGTGCAGCTTGTGTCGACGCTCCCTTATTAATGCTGTGTCTAGGGACGGCGTGTCATACACTAACATTACATTTGTGTAATTGGCAGCCGACAGCGGGGCTCGAGTGTGAATATCAGCAGAACCGCAGTGATGCCTCGACGAACTGATGATTATTTATACTGTGTCTAAAGTTTATATGAGCGTATTCACCAGAATAGTTCAACGTTATTTGCTTTCTTGCCAAAAGAGGATTGATACCAATCTCATATCTGCAGGGTAAATAAGAGCAAACATCAAACAACCAGATAGCTTAGCTTAGCAGAGACAGCCGGCCATGGATCCGTTCAAAGGCCAAAGAGATCTGCCTACAAGCATCTTTGAAGCTCACTAATTAAAACCATATATCCTTAACTTGGCAAGTAAAAGGATAAGCAAAAAAAAAATCAATCTATTGCTTTCAAAGTTTCCACGCACACAACCACACGTGAAGCAGCAAGAGGGGGACGGCGGAGGAGAGGGACATGATTGAATAGGACATAGTGACATCGTTTAACCCATTGTGCGTCCATGCAGAGAGCGGACAGTAGGAGGACGAGTGGAAGGTGAGTTTATAAAAGAGGGAGAATCACGGGCGCCACACATTCCTTGGGACATAGAAAAGAAACAACAGAATCGTGTTTATAATATCTACAGTACATCATGAGAGAAAAGAGGAGTTTGAACATGAAAGCAAACCACGTAACCACATCCGGGAGATTTTTTTTACATTCTGAATGTGATGACCATTAATCTTGGACTTTCCTCAGTCTGGCCCTAAAGCCTGAATAAACAATAGCAGCATTGTTTAACGAATAAGAAAACCTGTCTGCTGTGTTCATTTAAAACCCCAAATGACAAATTAAAAAAAAAAACAGAGGGAAGTGAAATTGGGAGACGGCAAAAAGCGACAGCCAGAGTGTTTAGGGGAGGGAAAGAAAAGCCCTGTGCCCACAAATCTCAATCAAGTTAACCGCCGCCTTGATTGCTCAAGTGAGACTGAGCCTTGCTTTGCAGCAAAACAAACACGTAAGCATGTCTTAACATAGCTGAGCCCAACCACCCCGAACCCTGGCAGGCACTCGTGGAGGCTTTGGCTCAGAACGGCACTTTCTCCTCAGGGGTGTGGAAGGAGAAAGAAGGAAAGCAGGAGAAGGTGAAAGAATGAGATAAAAGTGGGGGAAGAAATGTCAATCAAGTTCCTTAATAAGGAAATGAGGGAAAGGAAGAGAGGGATGATCTAATACACGAATGAAGGAAGCAGGGAGACTTCCTTCACTCTTTCTTTTTTTGTTTTCATGATAAGTAACTTCTCTTCTCTAGCGTAATTTTCCACCCGGTCGCTTCTTAATTTGAGAATGTGTTTGTTGATTCATGCATATTTGATTTGTAAATGTCACTCATTATATTTATAAACTCCTCCACGAAGTATGTTGATCCATTTCTTTAGCTCTACATCTGAAACAATCCGTTCACAAAAACAAACTCCTATTGGATTAGATTTACTTTAAGTTACTATTTCTTTGCATGACAATTGCACAAAGACATTAACTTTGTCCATACAATTTTATTTGGTCAAACAAATGGCTGGTTGTGTGAGAGGGGAACATAAAAGAAAGCAGTGGGGGGGGGCGTCCTTGTTGGTAAAACGCCGACCCATCTGGGTTGCCATAGTTACAAAAATTCAGATACTGTAGGTGATATATCAAGGGCTAAGCCCTTGAAGAGGGGGAAAAATAAGGATGGGAGGACGGAATATTTACTGTTAAAATGTTTGTTGTATTCAGAATGACGACATTAATGCTTATGGATGTTTATTAAATGTCAACAATCTATTTTTTTTTCATTTTTAGCATTTAAGGTAGTAAAGAAACAGAAGAATAAACATTGAAGCTTTAAAGGAGATATTATGCTGGGGTATAAAAGCATATTCAAAGTCCTGCTGTTAACCTTGGTCTTGATCCCTACACTTGGACATCTGACCAGCTGTTGCTGCATTTTCTCTTTGCTTTACTGTCTACTCAGAGTCAGACTTGGGGAGCAGCCATCTCTTAACCCTGTTTGAAAACCTCTATTTGGCCTTTGATCAGTCTTACCAAGAGCCTTATTTAATCCTGTCTGTTGCATTCTACTGCAGGAGGAAGCAGCAAAGGTCTGAGTGAAATGTCTGCTATCACGAGAACCCACTTTACTCTTATGTTTAACACCACTATTTGTAGTCATTGTTGAACACATGAAAAAGGATCGTTTGAGACCTACATTAAGGTTGCAAGCATGTGTACACACACACACACACACACACACACACACACACACACACACACACACACACACACGAGGGCATGCAAACCTATTGCCTCTCCACCGGCAGATAAAGAACAATCCTCAAGAACAATAAGCTATTAAGGAAGAAAGACCCTTACTCGATTATTTAACTGTTTATAATCCCAACACACAGTCGGCAAGGGGAAGAGGAGAAAGTGCGAGGAAAAAATGGGGTGAATGAGCACCAAGGTGGTGAGGGACAGGGTGGGGGGGGGAGATAGGAGAAGGATAAGTCTAGCCTACAGGAAGAACTGTACTTGTTGGGGAATCGAATGGATATGACAGCTAGGATAAGGTTGATGAATGACTGTGTGTGTGTGCGCAGATGATGGATTCTCTAGTGGAGCATGAGGTCCGAGGTTTCTTTGGGCAGAGGAGGTGACAGGAGAGGTCTCAGTCCACATGCCGCTGTCAGCCGGTCTGTCTATCCTGTCTTTCTTCCTGCTGTCTCCCTCACTCAATCTCTTTGTCCATTTGTCTCCTTCCCTTTGCCAAGCTGTCTCTTATTTTTCTTCATCCTGGTTTAAACTAAACTTCTACCTCAAAAACATACTTCAGCCAAAACATATTGATACATTGACCCTGAGTAGGCGGGCGCAGCGTTGTGTTGAAGGGAGATGTTCAAAGTATTTGACATCCAATGCCTAAATGTAATAAATCAGGTGTCGTCAAATGTTACGCCCTCTGACACCTCCCGTTACAATATTCACTATAACTTCTTTTCACGCCATTCTTCGTTCATCACTGCAGGCCTTTCCTGTTTATCCACCCGTTGCCTTTCTGACCTCTCTCAGCTAGGAGCGTGCTAGCCAGCGCTCTCCCCGTGTCTTGCAGATGGGCTCACTAATCCGCTAACATTAGCTCTGTGAGGCGTGAAGGCTGGGCCCTTGTGTTGTTTTGGATTGGAACGGAGGCTGTGGTTTAGCACGCTCGTGTTTGGGATTCTACACAGCTCCGGTTGAGGGGCGAGATAAAAGGGAAAGTAATTGGATAAAGGTTGACCAATTAATAAAGGCCGGTGATTCATGCCGGCCAGCAGGGGGTCGGGGGGGGGGGGGGGGCTTTATTCTGCACAGAGATAACGGGGAGATTCAGACCACAAACACCAGCAGATATTGGGTGGGTGGGGCGTCCTCCTTTGTGTATTTGTACATTTATGTGTGTGCGGCATCAATACGATAAAGAAAACGTACGACTGTCAGTCACTTGGGAGTGTGGTGGATTTACACCAATTAGTCCATTGAGAAGATATGTATCTGAAAGCATTTTTTTTGCACCTCTCAATATATGCAAGAGTGTGGTTGGCAAGTATAAGAGAGTGAACGAAAAGAGAATAGCACAATGAAAGCAGTGCTCCGCTGTGTGTCCATCACCAATATCCTTGTATACACTCCAGCAGTTGACACACACTTGTTATGCCTCGCATGTCGCCCGCTGCAGCCGCCGCTCGGCACGATTGATATTAGCTTTTATGCTAATGCAGCATTTGGCTATGTAAGAACAAGGCAGCATTTCCATAGACAGCCGTTCATTCCGGCCTGCTTATGGCCTTATGGGCCACAACAGAATTATTGCTGGATGGTAAACAAGCTGTTGTCACTATGCCAAGAGCCACTGCTACACAAACAGACAGCAGACACACACAGCAGGGGGATGTGAGGAAACCCCGAGGCGAAGGCCACAGAAGGTGCGAGGGTAAAGGTCTGTGTGTTTGTGTGCATTTGGTTATGTAGTGCAAATTGTTCCAGTGTTGCTCACATTTGTGCTTGCATGTGGGGGGGGACCAAGCTTTTACTTTATGATCAGCCACACCATAAGTGAAAAACAGCAGATTTGCTTGTTACATTCAGCACGACTATAAGAAATAAAAGCTCTTGAGAAACAATTGGGAATCGGAATTGTCCCACACTTACGTTGAGGGGAAATGGACATTGCATCCGTTCTATAAAATGCACTGTTGTCAATATGCAAGCAATATGCAAGCACTATGCGGTGAGAGTCTTACCTCAGAGATGTTGACGCGTCCCTCCTGGAAAGAGCAGTCGTTGGCGTTTTGGGTGCACATGTGGCGGTACTTGCACCAGTGGCATGGGAACGAGCCGTTCACACAGGAGAGGCAGCTAGAACAGAGAGAGGCGGGAGACGACGGTGAAGGAGTCTCCAGGGTCACTGATGGTTACCAGAATTCGGTTTGAATTTTTGATCTGACTGCATCAACGCTTCACTTGACAGAGCAAAGTGATGGCAGAAAACAGGACTGAATGAGGTGGTGCAATATTGTAAAATACATTATGAGCTGATAAACTGGAGTTTAGCAATGTGACATCTTTCTCCCGCTCACTTCCTTCTTGGATCAATCCCAACATCGCTAGCTCCCCCTCTATATGTTCCATGATCTTACTCACAATCAGCCTACTCTCTGCGTATATTCCTCCCTTCTCTTTTTATACTTCTGCTGTGTCACTTCCTCCATCCATTCAGCCCCGGGCCTTTCTTTCTGTCCCTCCGTCTCTGACTCTCTCGCTCTATCCATCCCTTTCATTTGCTGTCGTCTCCTTTTTAAAAGCTCTCGCCCCGTTCTTTGTCTAAAGCTCTCTTTCATCCACGGGGCTAAGAGCGCTCCACCATTTTAAATTCACCTGCTTTAGCTGAGGCGAGGTGCAGATAGACGGGCTGAAAGAGAAAGATGGGTGAAAGAAGAGAAGCCAAAGAGAGAGAGAGGACGAGATCAAAAGCAGGTGGATTTCCCTGAGAGCGCTTTAGACGCCAGGTATCGTGGGAGAGAGGGAGGCTGGAAAATAGGGATGGGGGGCAGAGGGGGGTTGTAGCCCGCGGGGCTCTGCGTGAAAGTCTCATGGGAGAAGGAGGAAACATTAGGTTGAAAGTCAGAAAGTGTGTGCGAGGAAGAGTGTGTGTGTGTATGTATTCGCATCTAAGGGGAACTGTGAAGGAAAGCCAGACGGGCTGAAGTATGCAGTCTATCAACACAGCTTCATGTTACTGGTACTCGATCAGCCCGAGAGAGGAGCTACACCTCTTTGTACCCAATTTATGTGTGCAGCTTTATCTAATGCAACAATTTTTTTTTACTTTAACTGCACAGCTTACTGTAGTTTTCTGAATTTATTCTGTGTGACTAATGTAGCTGTAATGGTTTGAGGGAGCATTTGAGCATATGAGAATATTTACTACAATACAGTGAGGAAAGCAAGTCTGGATCTATAACAATAAAAGAGCGTGTGGAGGCGTTTGATATACAGGAGGGTTTGCGTTCAACCACGACCTGCCAGGTGTGAGTTTGCGCCTCTCTTTATGAAGCGTAGACTCCCGAGTAGCACCCGATTGCGTTTTAACGCCGCGCAAAATGCCAACAGACATTCCTCTCATCTGCATGAAAAATTAGGGCTTTAACTCTTGAGCTCTGAGATGGAGCGAATACACGATTCCATCAAACCCTGACGTGGATTCATTTGGATCAATTAGGGCCGCTCGTTTGTCAGGTGCGCACTGTAAGTGATCGTTTCCAGCCAGGACCCCTCCTTTTGAGCGAGATCAGAGGCTGGGGCTTAATTCAATCCCACCGCCGCTTTAATTGACCAATTTACCATTGTGCTGAGAGAAGCTGTCCATTCAGAATGAGGGATGTGCGGCTACGGAAATAGCGGGCCTCTTAATACCACACAAGAGCAAATAGGGGATTTGTCAATGTTGCCAACTAATGGAGGAGAAGCGATTTGGCTACGCTAGGTTAGTTCAGCATACAGTGCTGGGCTCAAACAGCGGGAATGGTGGTTCTAGCTTAATGGTGAACAAAAGACATTATTGCAAAACAAATGAACACGTGGCAAGTTAGCTGAGCTCATTGTGTAGCTTGAAGGCATTTGTTACCCTGGCAACAATAACTAGCTTGAATGTTTTTTTTGTTGGGGGCCCACCGATGAATCAATGCTCATCAAAATACAGTACACCAGCAACTTAACACAGCAGGTAACTAGAAGCAAGCGGCGGACAGTACAATGTTGATTTAGTTCACACAAAAACACATCTGTCGCTAAGCCCTGATAGTAATCATTTTTTCTTTGGGACTTTTATGTTTTATTCATGTCAAATCAACGTCGTTAGTGTACCGTTGACTTTGAAATAATGAGCAAAATATCAGCAGGTAACCACTGCCAACTTTCTGTGACTTTTATGATTACAGCCTTTGAAATAAAAGACGACGCCACCCAAGGCCAACAGTAGGGTCTGTCCGACGACCTCCTGCTGCTCACTCTTTGGTTCCTGCGAGTAAGCAGGGCCCCCCGTCGGGATCCTGCCTCAGGATCTCAAAATCTCTCTTCTAGCCTGGGCGCACATTATTTTAAGGCACAGCCCACCCAGGGCCATTAAGGTATCTTTCCTTTTGTCCAGGGGTGTCTTCCCTTTTCAGTACCCCCAGTATCTCCTTTTTCCCCCTTCGTGTCACTCGTCATCAACCTTATCCATGAAGCTTTGGGCGGCGGCAGACGCGCTGCCCGTATGGCCACGCTCTCCATGCTAATTTAATCCGTTCATATTCAGATGCTAATCAAGTTTTTTTTCAGGGCCGACACAATGGGCTACACTTTCCTTCCCTCTCTTCTTGTGGAGAAGTTTGGAGTGCTAAATACAATCCGCTTCCCTAGTGAGGTGTGTTTGACACTCCTGGACATGGCAAAATTAGTTATTTATACATTTCAGTCATTGCAAAGGAGTGGAAGTGAATCATTCTCACTAAATATAACAGGCTATGTACACCTGAATAGTGCAATTTATTGTAAAAATCTTCCATAACTGTCCCGTTCTCTCCGTTTTACCCTGGATCAACGGCTTTTTACATTCTTCTCCATCAAAGAAAACACACTCTTACCCCAATTTAAATCAGATTCTAAATCACACAACAAATGACCCAGTCACGGCCCGAGGCACATTAACCGTAGCAAGAAAAGGTGCTCCATGTGCTTGTATACTGACATTTAAACCCCAATTCATTGCCAGACTATCTTCCCTATCTATAATAAATGGGGGGATGTGGGATGAGAGAAGAGTATGGAAATATTTAATTAAGGAGCAATCATTGCCCTAGGTAGTTTTCTATTTCAATCTCGGCAATCCTTAAACTGAAACAGTAGGAATTCTAATTAGATTAATACCACTATGTAAATTTATGGCATTTTTGAAGAGGCAAGGGCCACAACGTAATCAGTTGAGTAAATAAGCGGGAAGGGTGTGTGTTTTTGGGGATGGGGTTGGGTGTCAATATGCAGATGTTGAGCGCAAACTATTCAGAAATATGATGGCGCGGTTCCAATGCCCTGCTCATACCTTGACTTCCAAAAAGCTGCATTATACACAGTACCCGTAGGAATAAAATTACATGTGCAGGAACAGCTGATGAATATTGCCTGTGCTGGGAAATGTGTCTGCATGTTTAGAGGGTGTCCCTCTGCATCCATCTGTGTAAAACGCTGCGTATTTTGATTTAAAGCCCATCAGAGGAAAACTTGGCTCTGCAAAGAATGACCAAGCATCCTGGAAATAGGGCCTTGTATGTGGCCGCGCGGGCCTGAAACCATTACGCCAACGACATTACCAGTCTCATCTCATCAGACGCCACACACTGACATCCGGAGGGAACACGGGTATGCAGTCCGGAATGCCAGCTCCAAATGGGATTCTTATCCCAGCATCTCTTGTCGCCATCAGGGTCGCTGCCGCATCCTTAACTTTATTAGAACGTGTCCATTACATCATTGGGAGGCTGCATTAGATCAGCTCAGGGAACAGATTTAATCAGAGCTCATTTGGTTAATATCTTCCAATGGCCAACTCTCTTATCTGCGTCATTTCTAGTACATGCCTTGCACTTGGTTTGTGAGGTCATTGCCATATTAGAATATCTAATGCGACATCACATTTGAATACATCCATAAGGAAACCATTTCAAAATGCTGAAATTAGCACTGTTCCTAGCCAGTGTAAGGCGCGCAGAGGTAAAGCAAACATCCCGTGGGCCTTATGGGACATGGGAGTAACTGGGAGTTGACATTGTAAACCACCACACCCTTAACCAGCTGAGCTAATCATCATTGTTGTGGCGGGGGATGCTTTTCTACGAGGGCAGGTAGGGTTAAAGGTCATAGTAACGGATTGAGTGTCCAAGACATTCAGGGCTTCAATGAGCTGTAAATGACAGAGCGGAGAGAGGTGTGGCAGTGCATGTCGCTGTGTATGCGTGTGTGTGTGTCTGGGGACAATCCTCGAAGGAGGCTCATCTAACATCCAGAGGGAAGCCAGGATGGAGCCCTGCGGTACCCCAGGGGCCTTCCAGCCATCTGCTGCCCCTAGGCTAATACCCCAGCAGACGTTTCAGCCTCCCCTGGATCAGCCGTGCAGGCAGGGTATCATGTGGGGCGGGCAGAAGGAGCGAGAGGATTCTTTTACCCCGGCAGGGTGCATCAGGCTTGTGGTAGGACTGACCTAGGGGTGTGGTTTGATGGGTGGTGGAGCTTTTTAGCAGAAGGCGGATTAGCATAGGCAGTGATCTGAGATTGGGCAGAAAGCTGAGGCGTCTGGAGTGTGAAGGAGACTAATTCTTTGAGGGGAAAAAAATGAAAATACCCCATTTTATATATTACAGTTTTGACTCTATTGTGTAAATAAGTACCAGACTGAGTACCCGAGAATTAAAAAAGAGCTGGAAGCATTTGTTTTATCAAGTGGGATAGAGGCATTGATGTGTTTAGAGTCTGGGGTTGGGAGGCATTAATGAATCGCATAATTAATTCATCATTGAGGTATCATTAGTGTGTGTCGTGGGTTAGGATAATAAGAGTAGAAATAAGTCTCACATTCCAATCGTTTCTCAAATATGGTATGTTCGATTTCTGACTCAAATGGTAACACAAGCCTCATTTGTGTCTCTGTCTGTGTGTGTGTGTGTGTGTGTGTGTATTTCTCATGGACAGTAACATGAAGCAGCCCATAGGGAAACTGGACAAAGGGACAATCTCTTTAAACAGCTCGACAAACTAAAACAACAAGAAAAAAAACAACAAAAAAAAGTGGCAAATGACCACTACACCCCAAAGTTTTTAACCATTGTGACTTACGATTGGTGAACACTGCAGTTGTAGAAGACAAAATCGACGCTAGCAAACTTCTTGCCCGTCTCCTTGGACTTCAAATAGAGCTTCACCACCCGCTTGTCACCTGTATTGAAGAGATACATAAAAACAAAATGGAACATGAATGCATTACCAGCTCAAAAAATACCGCTAAATTTAAAAAATACCGCTACATTCAAAAAGCAGCTACATTCAATCACAAGAAATATGCATCGACAAGATGTCACACTTTAAATTTCAATTCCACTTGTGTGACCTCAACAGATAACACGCACACACAAAGAAACACTGTAGCTTAGCAACACAGTGCTCATGTCACAACCACAGTGGGGTGGCATTAAAAATAGCAGCACCAATCAGTGTTTGGATGCCAGGGATGATGAGAACTCAGCATAATGGGCTCAGTTGAAGAACTACTGAGATGCCACTTTGAGGAAACTTAGAATGTACTGCCACGTTTTCAGTGCTTTGAATGTGGATACTAAACGAGTTCTTATCATTTGTGCTCTGACAGAATTGGACATAAAACAGGTGCAAAGTCTCTGCAGAAACAAAAAAAAGATGCAGATATGCTTAAATATAACAATAAACCACACTGAAGTCACTGCTTTGAAAAGAAGCTTGGAGCATTACCAGTGCCTTTAGACAGAAAAGAAATTAAAATGAAACTGACAACAGTGCATAATGGATGATAATGGGAATTTGAAACAGTTCTATTTTCAGTATATAAATGTAGCCTTGTGTTTAGGGCTTTGCAAGTGAATGGGTGAGTGTTATTAGTGGTGACAAGCCACTCTGAATATAGACACACTAAACAAATGATCTGGCAACATTAAAATTCTGTTCTAGCTTTCCAAAGTCTAACGTTCAAAGAGACCACTGAGGAGGACACACACTGGCGAATGGTGTTGAACATCCAATATACTGCGAAAATAGGGAGAGAGGACATAACTGTAAAAAAAAAAAAAAAGACAAATGGACAGTGGAGGACCAACATAAAAATAATTAATTACAAAACTCGAATATATTATCAAAACCATTCTTAACCACACCCTACTCTGCCACCGCTTAGTGACCTCACTACCCCGATGACTTCATCACCCTTCGCCCCATCCAGTCCCGACCTTTGTTCCTTGTGATTGGGATGATGTCCCGGAGTGAAGGAGACCGGCAGAAGATGTGTCCCCCCTGGATCTGTCCCTCCGTCTCCACGTAGTCCTCAAAGGAGCAGTTGACCCCCGCCAACAGATCAGGCACGTTACGAGCCTGGAGGACCAGCTAGCGAGAAAAAAGGAGGGGTACATTCGGCACAAGATCAATGGAAGGACATGGTGTACATGGATTGTTATAAGATATGACATGAGGGTTAATGGGTGTGGGGACGGGAGGTGGGTGGGGGTTGGTGGAGTGAAGCATGGGTATGAGCGTATGTGACAGCGGCAGGAATAAAGGAGGTTGAGTGTGTGCATCTTGGGCGTATGCATGTGTGCGTCAGCCGCAGCAGCTATTACAGCAAGGTTAATGTGTCCGTGAAAGTGAGGCAAGCCGTCATCAGTCAAACCGATGTGGTTACACTGAGGAGCGGCAGACAGAATGAGAGCTCTCTTGCGAACACACCTGCGCAGACTTCATTACATCCTCCATGTTAAACGTTGTGACTTTTAAATGACATCTCATCGCCAGACTTCACTTGTGGACGCACCTACGGCAAACATATGTGACGATGGATGTTTAAAGGTTTAAAGGTAGAGCTCTATCGAACTGCGTCATGGCACCACCGCGTTTGTTTCAGCATGTTTCGCAGCACTGGTCCAAGTGGTTCTTTAGACTGTTAATGTTGCTTTATTGTTTAAAGGGATGTGCTACAGTCGGGATTAGAGGCAGGAGAAGACATACCTGCACATCAGCCATGGTGACGGAGATATTTCTTGGCTGAACGGTGAGCTCGACACACTGCCTCTGGTCAGAGGCAAACCTCTGGGGCTCCCCTGCTCGTTCACACCGGTCCTTGCGTGAACAACTAGGGTGCGGCAGCAAGAAAAGGAGGAGAAAGGAGAGTGTGAGGGGATCAGGTGAGAGAAAAAGGAGGGGAGGAACAGATGAGTGAGGAGATGAGGGAGGAGAGAGGAGGAATAAGAGCCACTGTTAAGGTAATCCTGCAATCATATTAAGATGACAAACATGCACAGCCATCCCGGTCATACAGCAATGGGAGCAATAACGGAAGACAAATAGCTAATAGCTACCTCAGCCATTACTGTAGGCCTTTACATCATTACCTTATTGGCCCCGACATTTGTGCAAGAAGCGCTAAGCTGTTTGAACATCCACTCCCTCTCATCTTATCCGTTTACAGTGCATCCCGATTCAAACTTCTATGGAGATATACAGGCAATCATTAAAGTTCCCCCGAACCGTAAAAATGATACAATTCCACCCGCATATCAATGGGGTCAGCAATTTCCACTGCCTATTACGAGCCAACTGATCGTGCTAAAAAAACAGCATACAGGCCCCTATTGTGGCGGTTTTACTATTAGCAATTCATAATGCATTAGCTATCACTTCACCTTCCCGCTAACAACAACTGGTCCCGGTGGTGAGAAGGAAAGTGCTGATGCAAGCGCTCTGCGAGGCCCCAGCAATAAGAGAGGCGGGGAAAGAAAATGCTAACTGCCTCCTGTGAGCAGCAGCCCCCCATCCCCTCGTTTAGTTAGCCTTCACTCGAGCTCAGCAAGAAAAAGCTGTCGCCAACCACTCCCCCGGGAGTAACTTACTGGCACGCGCACACTAAACACACACCGTACAGGCATGATATGCACAAAAGGTATGTACACGTTTTCTCATTATGGACCCCTTTCCCTTCTGCTGCTCCTCCGGTGTGTGACTGTGCAAATCCGTTTAAATGAAGTGTGCTCATTTGTCTAGAAACACCTGCGTGTGTGCGTGTGTGTGTGTTTGTGTGTATTACTGATTCAATTCCACTTTTGATTGAAACTACCATGGCTCTTAATAAGATGTGGCCAAAAGTACCAGAGGGCTGAAACGAGGCTTATAAATAATTTGCCTATTAATACCAATTTGCCTGGAAGGGCCTGGGCCAGATTTCTGCAACACAATCAGGGTTGCAATGAGCGGCCTTCATTCGATAAACACACACACACACACAAGGTCAAAGTGTGTCCAAACAGAAGGATAGCACTGGTCAGGTCCATCATAATTGTGAGTGCAAAGGGTGTGCGCATGTGTGCCTTGAGGAATTATGGAGAGATTGTATACAGACACAGTACCGGTACTATGCATCACTCACACACTTATGTGGGTTTAATTTGTAAAGACAACTGCAAATCTCCAATCCCTCTGGTTAGATCGAATCATCGAGTAATCGTAAAAAGAGCAATAACATTAAACCCAACACAAGTTACTGATCCTTAATCAGTTGCCATACAAATATGTAAAAGTAGTGTTTTGTGTGTTCACAACACACACAGAACTAGACTATATTCCCAAATATATAAATGATGGAGGTTGCAAAGTTGTGCTATATGCTATTATTATTGACGGACTTTAACACGATAAATGTAGCACTGCTGTCAAGGAGCTTTAAAGTTTAACATTTTCTTCTATCAATCATAATTAGGCCTTAGTAAAATGTTTTAGAGGGACTTTACTTAAATTCTTACAAGGTTTTAAAAGTAGAAACTGAGGTCAACAAAGGCCGAATTCATAGCAGCAACTGGCTGCCTGTGCAGTGTTTAGGTTCCCAACACCACCCTGTATAGCAAACTTGTTTCACGGAGAATTGATCTTCTTGGGTTAGGCAAAGTTCTCTAAAAAGTGTGGGAGTTAATTATACAGTACATTAACAATCCCATTTTAATGCAGCTCAGGATGTGGAACGAGCCTGAAGACACTCATTCAGTGTTTGAAGCTATCAGTACGATTGCATTTTAGTGAATGGTAGTTCGGAATATCCTGGTCTCTTTTATTCAGCAAGTTTTTACGTTTTAAGTTGTAATTAACTACCAACGTCTCCGTGGCTGTAGACACCCACAAAAAGCCCTGAGGCCAGAGAACAAGTGTATGCAAGGCGTCCATTCTGTACAAAAACCTTTAGAGGGAAAATGCCCCCCACTGTGTTTCCTCCTTTACGCCCTACAAAACTCATTCATCTTGGAATAAAAGAAAAACGGAACTAAATTGATAACAACTTCAGTGCCAATGGAGTGAATCGGCTCTCTGAAAACACTCAATTCGAAAGTATCTACAATGCAATGGACGGCTAGCAGGATGAAGTTTGTTAATGTGTGCATGGGTGTGTGAGGTACTTACACATTGTGGAGGACACACCATCCACAGTGGGGGTCTCTCGAACCCAAACACTCCCCACAAGTGGTGTACTGCTCGCAGCTTTCCACTGGAACTCTCACCACCTACAGAGACAGAGAGACATAGACACAGAGAGAGAGAGAGAGACATAGACACACAGAGAGAGAGAGAGACAGAGAGAGAGAGAGACAGAGACAGAGACAGAGAGAGAGAGAGAGAGAGAGAGAGAGAGCAAGTAGGTGATGAAGAAATAATTAGCCTCCTCGTCTTCCTCAAACTAGTAAAAAAATGTATATTTGGTTGGACGGAGATAATCATTTATTCAATTCAGCAAACAGTCCCGTTGTCTGTTTGTGTGTGTGTTCCTGAGACTAAAAGAGAGCGTGTCTGTGAGAAGTGTGTGTGTGCGTGTGTCACGCCTGTGTTCTGGTGAGTGATTCCGGTCCAGCGGTGTGCGACAGCCTCCAGTGAAGCGTTTACAGGCAAGGCCACGCAATGCATGCTGGGACACCTGACAGGTGGCTGTCACAAAGGTACTGTGATTGACAGGTGACCTCAAAACCAAAGAGAGGCAGAGGAGCCGAGGGACAGACCCCGGTGTGTGTGTGTGTGTGTGTGTGTGTGTGTGTGTGTGTGTGTGTGTGCATGTGTGTCAATCACCTCCCTACTGGATGTTTGAGCTTATGTGGCTACAGATGTTGCGCAAGAAACTGGATCAAGTGTTTAAGTCGGCCCTCCGCTGCAGCTAAAGGTGACAACAGCTGGCTCACCATATAGTCCCAGTGGTTTAGAAAGTGCGTGCGTGTGTATTTCAAGATACCCACATGTGAGGATAACGTGTTTAAGTGAGTGACAGACAGATTGCTAGCAGATGAAACACATGTGCACTTTTGTGTGTGCGAAATGTGTCAGCGCCACATTTAACTTTTCTTCACCACAGGGCCCCAAGTTGATGAGTGGCTTGATCCCTGCTTCATGATGCGTGTGTGTGTGTGTGCGTGCGTGTGCGCGCGTATCAAATTGCCCACAGACAGCAGGCTAGTGTTAAATCATGCATCAGATAGAGAGCCGGCTGATCAGTACGTAACAGCATTTAACAACTCTACCCATAGGTAAAACTATGCAACCATGAAAACTCCTTACAAGTGGTATGTGGGGACTAAAGCAGTGGCTGGCCCGGCGGGGACTGACATTTTTATGAGGTAGGGATGGGAAAGGGGGAGAGATGGAAGGATCTATGGGATAAGAGGACAAAAAAGCACGGCGGAAAGAGAGCAGAGGCCTGAGGTAAGCGATAAAGCTGGTTAGCTGCAGGATGGAAATCAGCCAGACAAAGGAACGCAGCGCTGGAATATTAAACTGGGGCCGGGATTCCACCGAGAGCTTTAAGTACAACACAGATATGAAAAAGATACGACATGATGGAACTCATTTATGCTCTGAAACGTCTTGCATCAGACTGGCTTTGGGGCTTTTTGGCGGAACAATCGCGCTCATGCAGAGGGCGGACGGACAAAAACACTTGACATTGTGTGCCACTAATTCGTCTTTTCTCTCTGTTCTCCTTCATTGTGCACACTATACATTTGTTATTTCCATTACTCTTCATGTCCCTACTGCTTCTTTCTCCGCCCCACAATCTCCATCCTTCTCTGAGCATCTCAGTCATTCTGCAGACACAAGTACAGTAGCTTTCAGGATGGCTGGCTGCCCAGCGAGAGAAAGAATGATGAAATGATGTAAACAAGCAATGACGGAGACCAAAGTGTGGGGAGCTGGGGGGAGTGGGTGAGGGGGTCATCTACTGTAACAGTGGCTGTATGAATGAATAGAGGGACAGAAAAGTGTAATGGAAGACCACACGGGCCGAATTGGCAAGGACAGTGTGCTGAGTAGATGGGATATGGTGGCAGACGGCTGCTATGTGTCACTGTCAGAAATAAGTGGAGGTCTAGTTTTTATCTGAAAGGGGAGCAGACAGCAGGATGGAACAAGGGATTGGTGCGGGACAGTGGGAGGGTGACAGAGGGGGGGAAATGAATGGGAAGTGAATGAATGAGCAGAAAATGGAAAGGTGGATGAGGCAAAATCAGCTTTGGCTGATGACATGTGAGTGGACACCTTGGGAGAAAGAAGAACTCATCACAGGATTTCTCTCAAATAGCTCATGATTTGACAAAAAGTTAAAAAAAGCAAGAATGGCCCGTTCCTCGTATCATCCAAGGCGTGAACCAATCCCCCCTCGTCTCCTCCATAAATCATTATGACTATGATTAAGCACAATGGTTACAGGCCTTTGGTGAGCGAGCATAACCTTATCACTGCCCTTATGTAATGACAGATATGGCTTATTGTTCACAGATCTTCCCCTACGAGTAATAGGGAACCCACTGAGGAGTTCCATTCAGTGGGGGTTGGCGTACAGATGTTGATGTGGCAGGGGGCTATGATGGTTGTTTTTACCAGTAGGGATATAAAATATTTTACTGGAGCCGGGAACGTTCTTGTATAACTGCCTGCAGATCCCAAAAATATGTGCCTGCGTGTGCGTTGGGAGCACTGCTTACCCACAGACTCGCACACTCCCTCCACCTCTCCCTCTCGACGGCTCTTTTAATGAAAGCCAATTCCCGACAGCGCGCCACATTACTCCTTTAAATGACCTTATAAACCAAGGCCGCCATCTCCTCTCTTGCCATCTCCTTATTTACAATAGCATCAGCCGCCGTAACTCAATTCTTCTCTCCCTGGGTTGTCAGCCCTCCGCCCCGACCATATTGCAATGCCGTGACGTCTCCTCTCTGCTATAAACTTTCCACCTTTCTGTTTTTACATCACCTGCCTTTCAGCGGCCCGCTCTGCGACGGTCACCCCCAAAACCAGACGGACCCGTAGAGCTTTCAGCGCGGCTTTTCATTGGTTGTTAAATCTACAGATATAAAAAGATCAGCGGTTGTGGGGCGTCCTTTTTTTTTTTTTTTTTTTTTTACATTCAAACACAGGGGGAGTCTGTCGTAGAGGAGAAGAGGGGGGGGGGGGACGTCGCCAAAAAAGAACCTCTTGTATGTGTTACACTGTCTAGGAGCCAAGAAGAACACTTATTTTTAGATATCTACATGAGACTCTGCATCACAAATTAGTAACGGTGCCTCCAGGAACAACAATCAGCCAACCTCTTGTCCTCAACACTCCCAATCTGGTTCTAACCCCACAGCTCAGGGACAAACAGGAGAGGAATTTGGTGTTACTGTGGAGTGTCAATTTAAGGAAAGAGCACACAAACACAGACAGCTTTCCATTGAAATGTTTACAAAAACTGCACATATTTGAGGGGGAAAAAAAATCACATTGGAGAAATCTCATAAACTTGTGGCTCTTTTATTGCTCCGCTCTTTTCACCCAAAGCGTGCTCTGTAATCTTAACTAGCCGTGGTTGAGCGGAAAAGAAATTTGGAGAAAGGGTCAGATTTAAACTAAAAATTTGAGCAGAAAGCGAGGGGAGGACGATGAGGAAGAAAATGAGGAGAGGTTATCACCCGTCATCTTTGCCCCCTCTCTGTAGACCGGCATCAACCACGCCTTTATTTTGTAACAACCGCCAATCGTCGCCCATCTTCCAGTGGTCTGATCTGTGCTGCGTGTGCGCAGCCGTGTGCAGGAATAAAATAAATCAATATCTACCAACAGGGCCACTGAATGCCCCAGAACAACACAGAATAGCACAGAAATAGAAAAAAAAAAACTGTTGCTCTACAAAGAGCTGTGGCAGTCGTTGCTGCGAATGTAACTCACGTTCCCGCCTCCCGCTTTCTGCACCAGTGTGCAGTGTCTCTCCTACATCGGAGAGGGGGAGTTCTACCCAGTAGTGGTCCGGCTATCCCTTAGGCCTAATGCTGAAGCATGTCTCTCAACAGGGTCTCCGTGTAAGTGTTCGTTCTTCCAGTGCGGAGATACCTGCTCACGGGGCGTTGTATCAAAGGCTGGATTAGTATGTGCGCATTGACTGGATTGTAAAGGGCTTAGGAGATCAATGGCTGGCGAGGAGCTCGATGTGTTGACTGATTGGAGATAAGCAGCAACGCAAACAAGACTCTGGGAGTCAAAAGTAGCAGTGAAAAGTAAAGACCGGTGCTGAAGTACGGATGAAGAGAGAGAGGAAGGCGGAAGGTTCTGTGGTAGGAGACCGGAGGGAAGACAGCAGCAATCACACCATTGTCTTCCATTCAAAAGAAAACATCTGTCGTCCAATTCGACTGTGTTACATGTTAGAAATGGTATTGACAGATCTGACCACTGTGGTCGACTCAAATGGTTTGCTGCAGACCTGTTTTAGTGAACTGGGTCTTTATGTGCCATTGTGATAACTGTAATCTCTGGTTCCTTCCTCCAAACTCACTCCCTGCTGTATTCTTTGCTCCCACTGCCCTCCCTGCCTCCCTCGCTATCTTTATCTCTCTCACATCGTGGTTTGCCTGCTTTTTCCTCCTTTCCAATGAGATCTCCTCCTGTTTCGCCTCTTTAATTTATCTTTTCTATCCTGTTCCTCCTGCACTAGGCTCAATTATTCACCAGCATTTTTTCCCCCTTCTGAAATACGGTTTTGATCTCCTCTCCTACACTCCAGCCGGTGAAAACAAGAAGCAGATCAAACAGCTTAATTATTTGTCCTTTGTGTGTGCTCATATTGTGAGTTCAAGGGCAATAAAGATGATGACTGAACTTCCCCTTACTGCTCTGAGACAACATACATACATATATAATATACACACACAGGATGAGGCAGCTGTAGGACTGCTCTCTGTGTAGGTGTATGGAAGCACCTTTGAACTAATATTAGACTTTGTGGTCATTAAAAATCTCAATAACTAAATGCACCTCCTTGCCCTTCATAATTGCAATTATGATAAAAAGTGTGAGTATTGAGTGCAAGCGATACAGTCTAAAAAATGAACTTAAGAAAAGAAAAAACTATTTGAAGCAAGAAACAAAAAGGAAGGGAGACCCACAACACACAGGACTGGCTACACAAACACAATCAAGAGGAGCTAGAGTGAGAAAAAAGACGTTGAAATATAAAGACGTGAGACCTCATCAGTCATCACAT